CTCAACGTGAGCCAGGGTGGACCCATCGGGCCCTAAATCATTTATTCAGATGGTTTAAATCTATCTTCTTTTGAATGTCTTCTAGCGTATGTAAAAAGGACTGAAACTATACTGTATCTTCCCTGCTACCTGTACAATATACAGTATAGGGTTTACTCTTTTATATAACTGTATATAAACCTTTGATGTATTTTTCTCAAGATTATCAACCAAGTATCTGGCACATGATATAAAGTAAATCTGTAATAATTTTAAATTGGGGGTAACTAATGTATTATAGTAATAGGAACAAAAGCAGGGAAATCAGTATTAATTTAAAGAAGTGAGTGTACTGTATCTCCTTTAATAAATGGTTATTCTCGTCACCTTTGTCTTGCATTCTTGCTATTTCTCTGAGACTGTGCAGGGGCTCTTCTTATTATTTAGAAATCAAAAAGAAATAGATAAATGAAAGAACTTTTCTAGTGACTGGGAGTGATGTGTGATGTTCCCAGAGCCCTGGCTACATCCCTGTACCTCCAAATCCCACAGGGAAAGAGCCCATCCATTATGGATTGTGTGGGATTATTCTACTAGAAAGGAAGTGACTGAGTAAGAAAATTTCCATTTGGGTTGCTGGGGCCCCAAACAACATGTGTTCTAGAACCTATTTATTTTTAATGTAGAAAGGCTGTCTGAGATTTACTTGTCATTCAAGGAAGATGTGTTTTGGAATGTCAAAAGGTGGCAGTGAAGCTTCTAAAATGTACAGTGGATTTACATTCAAATGGATACTCAGGTCTATTTAAGACCAAAATTTAGGCTTTCTAAAAAAATAATTTGCAAAACATAACTTTCATAGAAATGTTTACATATTATATATATTTTTTAAATTCCAGTGACAACAGAGTCTCTGATGTGGATTTAAACACTGGGGCAGGTGCTGTATGTGTACAATGCCTGGCACATTGGAGCTCTGATCAGGGCCTCTATGCACTACTGCCATACAAATAATTATTAACTTAGTACAGCTAACACGGTATCTTGACAGATTTGTACACTCTCAAAGGCATTTCCCCATCGGTTACATCTGGGTCATTTTCTTGTCTACCTGGTGTAGGGGAGGTTTGAAAGTTGTTGGTCAATAGCTAAACATTCACCATGGATTGTGCCAAAGCTTCTGCTATTGCAGAGGGAAACTGCCATGAAAACAATTCCCACTTGTCAGGAAATTCACTCTAGAATACAGCAGGATTGTAAAACATGCTGTCCTGGTGTATTTTTACTTGATGAGCTTTGGGGCAGTAACGAACCCGGACAGGATGGGGCGAGGCAGCAAGAATAAAGGGGTGTGGCTACTGCCTGGCCAGCTGAGAGAGAGATTGGGTGGAGAGGGGTGCATGCTTGAGTAGAAGGAGTTGTCAAAAGGCCTAGAACAGCGATACTCAGACTGAGGCTCGAGAGCCGCAAGTGGCTCTTCAATGGGGGAGGGATAGCTCAGTGGTTTGAGCATTGGCCTGCTAAACCCAGGCTTGTGAGTTCGATCCTTGAGGGGGCCACTTAGGGATCTGGGGCAAAATCAGTACTTGGTCCTGCTAGTGAAGGCAGGCGGCTGGACTTGATGACCTTTCAAGGTCCCTTCCAGTAGGGTTACCATATTAAAAGTTTTTAAAAAGAGGACACTCCATGGGGCCCTGGCTCCACCCCTTCCCCTGAGCGCCCCGCATTCCCCCTCCTCCTCCCTCCCAGCCACGCGAAAAGGGCTGCCCGAGCGCTAACGGCTTCACGGTTTGCCGGGCAGCCCCAGACCTCCAGACCCTGCGCCCCCAGCCGGGCGCTTCCCCTCCCGGGCTCCGACTGCGCTGGGGAAGCGCCCGGCCCGGGGCACAGGGTCTGGAGGTCTGGGGGCTGCCCGGCAAACCGTGAAGCCGGTAGCGCTCGGGCAGCTCGGCTCTTCAGCTTCAGAGCTGAGGTGTCTGGGGGGAGCAGCAGCAGCCGCCGCTGCAGCAGGGAATCCGCCTGCAGCTCGCAGCCTGCTGGAGCCGCTCAGGTAAGCAGGGGACTGGGGCAGGGATGCCGGCATTTTCCCAGATATGTTCGGCTTTTTGGCAGTTCCCCCCGGACGGGGATTTGAGCACCGAAAATCCGGACGAAACTCCCTACTTCCAGTTCTAGGAGATAGGATATATCTCCATTATTAACATTAACATGCGTCTCCTGCAGCTCTTTGCAGCACATATTAAAACACTGTAATTTAATTATTAACCAATCAAGAGGCTTTTACTATGTTATTAACCAATTGTAATTGATAAAATCATACTTGGTCAGTCACTTTGCTGTGAGAATTTTTTATATATATATATATATCTCAAATAGTAAATGAAACAATGAATTCACACTACCGTGGCTCTTTTGGGTAAGGCTGATTGCTAATTAGACTCCTGAACCACTGTCTGAGTATCACTAGCCTGTAGCATCTTGAGCACTCTGCAATGCTTTTCTCAAGGAAGCAGTTTCTGATCGTTTACATTAATGGCATGTCAGAATGAAAAGGTCAGTTAAGAGCTAGAGCCAGTGTTTTCAAACATGGAGGCTAATGTTAGGCCCTTAATCCAACAGGAACTGTGCTGCTTGCTAACTCAGCCACCTCTATTTAGGTGCCTAACTTTAGGCTCCCACAACTGAAGACCCTAGCAGAGGGAGACCTGTCTGACAGGGACAGAAGATGAGGGGTCATATGCAACTGAGGCTTATGGTCACATGTAAGTTATTTGGCACAAGGAGGCCCTCCTCTAAGCAAGTTAAGATGGGACATTTGAGAATCTTCTAGGCAACGCTCTCAGCTGGAACCACTCACCTCCTCCAGAAACCTGCCCTATGAGGAAAGGTTAAAAAAAAATCAACATGTTTAATCTTCAGAAAAGAAGACTGAGGGGAGACCAGATAAGTCTAAGAACTGGTTTAAAGAGGATGGTGATCAATTGTTCTTCATGTCCAATAAAGTTAACCTCCAGCAATGGAAATTTGTTAGGTATTGGGGTGTGATTTTTTTAAATGTTAACAAGACCTTGTCTTCATTGAAATGGGTTTGCTGGTATAACTGTCCTTGTGCAGTCACAGTTTATACCGGCAATACAGTAACTCCTCACTTAAAGTCGTCCCAGTTAACGTTGTTACATTGCTAATCAATTAGAGAACAGGCTTGTTTAAAGTTGCGCAATGCTCCCTTATAACATTGTTTGGCAGCTGCCTGCTTTGTCCACTGCTTGCAGAAAGAGCAGCCCAGTGGAGCTAGCTGGTGGGGGCTTGGAACCAGGATGGACCAGCAGCTCCCCTATCAGCTCCCTGCTCCTCTAAGTTTCCTGTGGGGCAGCCACCCAGCAGGCTATCAATTGCTGGCAGTTCAGCTATCCCTCCCCCCACTGCCATGTGCTGCTCCTGCCCTCTGCCTTGGAGCTGCTCCTGGGAGCCTCCTGCTTGCTGTATGAGGGGAGGGGGGAAGATGAGGGGGGCTAATGTCAGGGTGTCCCCCCCTCCCCCCCAGCTCCTGCCCCCCACTTACTCCATCTTCATAGAGCGGGGGGGGGGGACACGACAGGGCTCATGACGGAGGTAACTTGCTAGTAGCAGCTGCTGTCTCAACTTGCTGATCTACTTAAAAAGGCAATGTACTTACAGTGGGGTCAGCATACTTAAAGGGGCAATGCGCATCTCTTTCTCTCTCACATACACTCAGGGTGTATCTGTCTGCCAGGCTGTCTCCCCTCTATCCATTTGTGCTGCCTTGTAGAGTGTGAGGCTACATTAACAATGTGTTAACCCTTGAGGACTCAGCCGAATGCTAGTCCATCATTTAGCAGCAAAGCATTCCCTGGGAAATATCCCACCCTCTGACTTCACCACCTCAACCAAGCTTCACAATCATAATGGCTGTGTACAGTACTAAATTGTTTGTTTAAAACTTATACTCTGTGTGTGTGTGTGTGTATAATATATATATATATATGTCTTGTCTGGTGAAAAAAATTTCCCTGGACCCTAACCCCCCCTATTTACATTAATTCTTAGGGGGAAATTGGATTCGCTTAACATCATTTCACTTAAAGTTGCATTTTTCAGGACCATAACTACACCGTTAAGTGAGGAGTTACTGTAGTTAATGTGGTGGTACAGCTTATACCAATTCTCCAAACAAAGGAATGTTTCCCCAGTATAACTGCGTATTTCTACACTAGAAATTCTTCAGTCGACCTAGCGATGGTGACGGGGGGTTAGGTCACCTTAATAACACCACATAAGCAGTGACATTTTTACAGCCCTGACTTACCTTTGTAGCAGGGAGCAGACCCCCGTGTCTACAATTTTTTGCCAGCCATGGCTACCTCGGCTCGGGCTGCGATTTGACTCACACTCTTAGCTGATGTGGCCATGGTGGCAACATATTTAACCATAGACCAGCCCTACGCTAGAGATTGTAGTAACAACCCCTCCCCCCACGGGTGCTGTTACCCCAGTACCCCCCCCTCCGGGGCAGGCGCTGTTACCCCAGTACCCCACCCCCCTGGGGCAGGCGCTGTTACTCCAGTACCCCCTGGGGGAGCGGCCGTTACCCCAATATCCCCCCTGGGGCTGTTACCCCAGTACCCCACCCCCC